ATTCCTGCATTGCTCTTTGCATCTCTGCATTCTTGTGCTCTTTTTTGCCTTCTTGCATTGCTTTGTGCATCTCTGCTTTTTTTTTTTATTTGCATTGCTTTGTGCATCTTTTTATTCTTGCACTTCTTTGTTACATCTCTGCATTCTTGCACTCTCTTTTGCGTCTTTGCATTCTTGCACTCTTTTTTTGCATTATTGCATTGCTTTGTGCATCTCTGCATTCTTGCACTCATTTTTGCGTCTTTGCGTTCTTGCGTTGCCTTTTGCATCTCTGCATGTTTTTGCATTGCTTTGTGCATCCTTGCATTCTTGCACTCTTCTTCACCTTTGCGTTATTGCATTGCTTTTTGCATCTCTGCTTTTTTTTGTTGTCGTTGCATTGCTTTCTGCACCTTTGCATTCTTGCACCTTTGCATTCTTGCATGTTCTTCTGCATCTTGGAATTCCTGCGCTCCTTTTTGCGTCTTTGCTTTTTTTTTTTTTGCATTGGTTTTGCATTCTCGCAGTGCTTCTCGCCTCTCAGCGTTCTTGCGCTCTTTTTTGCACCCTTGCACGCTTGCATTGCTCTTTGCGTCTCTGCATTCTTGCACACTTCTTTGCATCAGTGCTTTTTTTTTTTAATTCATTTCACCGTTTTATATTATTGCATTCTTTTCTACATCCTTGCATTTTTTAATTGGTTTTGCATTCTTGCGTTCCTTTCTGCTTCTTTGCATCGGTGCGGTTTAGCTTTTTCTTTTCCCTTCGGCACTTTCTTGTTTGTGTCTTGCTTTTTAGCATTCTTGCCTTATTTTCTGCTCTTCCACTTTTTGCATTACTCCTTGCGTCTTCACATTTCTGCATTCTTGTTTACAGCTGGGTGCTTTTGCATCGCCTCTCACTTTTTTTTTTTGCACTATTTGCGTCACACTTTTGCTTTCTTGTATTCCCTTTGGCACTGGACTTTTGCCGTTACTTTTCCCATCTTTGCACTGGGGCGTTGTTTCCTGCATCTTTACATTTCAGTCTTGCTTTTTTGCATTTGTGCGTTTGGGGGTTTTTTGCCTCTTTCAATTTTTGCATGATTTTTTGCATCCTTCCATTTCTGCATTGCTTTTTGTATCCTTCCTTTTTTTTGCATCCTTCCTTTTTCTTTTTTCTTCATGATTTTTTGCATCCTTCCTTTCTTGCATCGTTTTTTGCATCCTTCCGTTTTCACATCTTTTTTTTGCATCCTTCCTTCCTTTTTTTTTTGCATCCTTCCTTTTTTTCTTTTTGCGTGGTTTTTTGCATCCTTCCATTTTCACATCTTTTTTTTTGCATCCTTCCATTTTTTTGCATGATTTTTTGCCCCCTTCCACTTCCGCATCCATTTTTGCATCGTTTTTTGCATCCTTCCTTTTTCTTTTTTTTTTTTTGTATCCTTCCATTGTTTTGCATGATTTTTTGCATCCTTCCATTTCTGCGTTGCTTTTTGCATCCTTCCTTTTTTTTTTTCATCCTTCCATTTTTTTGCATGATTGTTTGCATCCTTCCATTTCTGCATTGCTTTTTGCATCTTTCCTTTCTTGCATCATTTTTTTCATCCTTCTTTTTTTTCTTTTTTTTCCTTCATCCTTCCCTTTTTTTGCATCCTTCCCTTTCTGCATTATTTCTTCGCACCGTCCCATTCCTGCAGCACTGGTGACCCCCCCGTTTCTCGCCCCCCAGGGTCTCCATCCGGCTGCCCAGCACCAGCGGCTCGGAGGGCGTCCCCTTCCGCTCCGTCCCCGAGTGGCTGGAGTCCATCAGGATGCCCCAGTACACGGAGCACTTCATGGCCTCGGGCTACAGCACCATCGAGAAGGTCCTGCAGATGACCAGCGAGTGAGTCCCTGTCCCCGTGGTGTCCCCGTGGTGTCCCTGTGGTGTCCCCATGCCATCCCCTTGGTATTCCCATGCCGTGTCCCCATGCCGTGTCCCCATGCCGTGTCCCCATGGTGTCCTCATGCCATCCCCTTGGTGTCCCCATGGTGTGTCCCCATACCATGTCCCCATAGTGTCACCATACCATCCCCATGGTGTCCCTAGGGTATTCCCATACCATCCCCATGGTGTCCCCATACCCTGTCTCCATGCTGTCCCCATGGTGTGTCCCCATGCCATCCCCTTGGTATCCCCATGCCATCCCCTTGGTGTCCCCATGCCATGTCCCCACGGTGTCACCATACCATCCCCACAATATTCCCATACCATCCCCTTGGTATCCCCATACCATGTCCCCATACCATCCCCTCGGTGTCACCATACCATCCCCACGGTGTCCCCATACCATGTCCCCACACCATCCCCTTGGTGTCCCCATGGTGTGTCCCCATACCATGTCCCCACACCATCCCCACGGTGTCCCCATATCATGTCCCCATACCATGCCCCTGGTGTCCCCTTGGTATCCCCATACCATGTCCCCATACCATCCCCTCGGTGTCCCCATGGTGTGTCCCCACAGTGTCCCTGTACTATCCCCATGGTGTCCCCTTGATGTCCCCATACCATGTCCTCATGGTATGTCCCTATGCCATCCCCTTGGTGTCCCCACACTGTCACCATACCACTCCCCATACCATGTCCCCTTGGTGTCCCCATACCATGTCCTCATGGTGTGTCCCCAAACTGTCCCCATGGTGTGTCCTCATAGTGTCCCCACAGTGTCCCCACGGTGTCCCCATACCATCCCCATGGTGTGTCCCCATACTGTCCCCATGGTGTCCCCACAGTGTGTCCCCTTGGTGTCCCTGTACCATCCCCATAGTGTGTCCCCACGGTGTCCCCATGCCATCCCCATAGTGTGTCCCCATGGTGTCCCCATGGTGTCCCCATGGTGTACCCATACCATCCCCACGGTGTGTCC